ATATATATATATACATAAGTTAAACAATATATAAACATATTTTTTATTCTGTAATAACCCGATAACATGAGCACAAAAAAGTGTATATATAAATATAAAATAAACAACGTATAAACATCTTTGGTTAATTGTACATATATATATATACGCACACATAAGATAAACAACATATAAACATATCTTTTATTCTGCAATAACTCAATAACAGGAGCACAAAAAAGTACATATATAAACATAAAATAAACAACATATAAACATCTTTGATTCTGCAATAAGCTTGTCACATGATTACAAAAATTGTATATATATACATAATATGAACACCCTATAAACATTTCTCAAAATGCAATATACTTATAACATGACGAAAAAAACTAACGATATATATGTATACATAAGATAAACAATAAATAAACGTTTTTGAGTAGAATTATCGATGCCTCATTTTCCTTGGTGTGGGGCTGATTTTTTCTTGAACTCTCTTTTCTTCGAAAAATCCCGTCGACGCTTACAATTTTTTGGGTCAAACTTTGGGATATACGTGACCGTGTCACTGAAGTCCTTTGGTACATCTGAACCCATTTCACTATAATGAGATTCTTCTTCCTCGTCAACATTGAAATCCGAATCGGACTCTTGTGGATACTTTGGAGTATCAAAATTTTTCTCTTCGTTTTTTTCTTCGAACCCTTTTCTTCTTTGAGTCGTCAATCACCTTTTTCTCTTTGTGTTTGATTTTATGTTCGGAGACTAAATCGTCGTCGTCGGTCGACTCACTCTCGGCAGGATTCAGAATTGGTGGTTTTTTAGGAGCATCCAATTTCTGCAATTGAAGCTTTTTTTGTACAACCTTGCGTTCGTCGAAATTGAGATTTGTGACGAGATTGAGAGCGGGTTATCCTTGCTTCGTCTTCAATGTTGGATAGTTTGCCCTCAATTTCTTTACGCTTCGACATTGTTTGTTTCGTCTCCAATCTCGGATTTCAAAATTTCTATCGCCGAGATGCAGAACTTTTTGAGTATGAGAGATGAGAGACGAAAGCTTTCTATGTATGAGAGATGAGAGAGATGAAATATTTTTTATGAGAGAAATTCTATGCACAAAGATGAGAGATGAATTTCTATACCATGTAATCGGATATGGAGAGAGAGAGAGAGAGCTTGATTTCTTTTCTAATTGATAATTATATCCAATTAGCGATTAATTAGGCCCCAATAACCACCTCAACGTATTTTTTATGAAACTTTTTGCTACTCGTAATTATGATATTATTTCAATGTAAGGGGAGTAATTTTCTCAAACTTGGTGTGCTTGAAGGCTTGGACCAAAATACTTAGGCATATATATAATTAGGCTTGGACAAAAATACACGTTATACACTTAGGCATATATATATAAGAACAATAAACCAACAAAAATAATTAAGAAGACGACGACATCTTCTTAATCTATATTTTAATTAGGTGAATTAATTAGAAAAATTAAATAGACGTGGACATCTATTTAATTCTCATTTTGATTAAAGGATTCGGATTAAGAATCGAAAATTAACTTAGTCGAGCAAAAGATAAGTATAAATGCATTGCAATGCAAATAATAAAAAAATATACAACGACTCACATAAATCGAATGGAGCACTACACCATCGAATCCCATAAACGGTTAGATCGGGTAGAAGTCGCCAACGTGAAAAGGTGATGATAAAGAGCCGGGCTCAGCAAGGTAGCCCGACCAAGCAAGAGTACCACCGAATCCAGCGAGCGATCCAACCAGGTAAAATGCCCAAGTAATAACGAGGACTGGGGCTCATTAGTAGCCCGACACATCAGTGAACGATGAAAAAGTTATGATGAATCACAAATAGACTTAAAAGGTCGACTAACAAGGTAATTAAGTCAATAAGACTAAAATAGGTTAAAAGGTCATTGCAAAACTTTCAAGATAACAAATTGCCACACCAAACTCATCAACGAGTTCGACCGCACACATTAAAGATAAGCTAGAAAATGCGAAATGAAGGCCAAATAGCCGACATAATCGCGTAATTGTAAAAATGGTAAACATAACTCGGCACAACAAAAAAGATCAAACATTTTTTAAACATTCAAACCACTAAGAAAATTCAAAGCCAAAAAATCCAGACCAAGCACACGCAAGAAACTTCGAAAATGGCACAAAGGCCGACAAAAGCCATAGGAAATAAAGAT